CCCCCCCCCCCCCCCCCCCGACTCCGCACTGCTCAGGATGGTGCAGGGTTTTTTTGCCACGTGGGCCGGCATTAAGCCACAGCATAGAAGTATAGAAGTGGATATGGGGCTTCTGGCCTGCCCACAAATTGTGCCCCCTCCCCAGACTCAGGAGGCACCAGTCACCCCTGTTTCCAAGCCTGGTTCAATCCAGTCCAAAAAGTCTCAGGGAAACAACAAAAAAAAATGTACATAAAGTCAATCGAACATTTTTTACAATATTATAAATATAGGATATAGGCTGGAAGGCAATTTGGACAACTCAACAAATTCCAGAAGACCTGCTTACCAGTCTGTGCACCACCCTCTGTCCCCTTCTCATGTCTTTTCAGTCAGTATAGGTACCTGTTTTCTATGTTGTGCTGTCATGGGTAGCCAGATAAACTCTTGTCCCAAAGTCTGTTTTTGTGGCTTGGGGTACAAGCAATAAGACGTCAAGCTGTAGACCAGTCTCATGCCTCGTTTATTGTCAGGCAGCCTGTAAATTCACCTGTAATCTGGGTAACTATGCCCCTGCACTGTGAACACTTAAAATATGTGTACTTTCAGAGTCTGTTCAGTAGACTACACACTGGCCACATACACATGCCTAATGTGGGCATGAAACTCAAAAGGTAGCTAGGCAAAAACCCATTACTAAAAGGTGTTAGATGAGGGAGAAGGGTCCTCTCATATCTTAACTCAAAGAACTGAGAGTCTAGGGAACTTACCCAGGAAGTGACAGACCTGTGTCATAGGCTGCCTTGCTTAAGGGGGGGTTTGAACCTGCATCTAACTCAGGGGTGGGCAATTACTTAGGGTGGAGGGCTGCTTAATGAAGCTTGGTAAGCTTGCAAGGGCCACATGGGTAGCCCCGCCCCTTGACAGCTGCCCTGCCTCCTGGCTGCCATAGTTCTACCCCTAACCGCTGATACTTGTCACCAGAAGTCCCTCCCCTTGCCTCCCAAAAATACTCCTTTTTAGAGGGTGGTTTGCCATCTTAGAACCAGAAAGAAACTAAATCATACACTACAAGTCAAACCATACTATAACATAATTTAATTTTATTACAAAAAATATTTTTGTTATGATTTGTATTTGCATACTGTATACAGAGATAATTGCAAAATAACTCAAAAATAAATTCTTAGTCTTGTATATTGTGCATGTGTGTTGGGTTGTGGGAGGGCTTGTGAGGGGGCATTAGGGTATGTTGGGGGTGTGTATATGTGGGGGGTTACAGGGGCAGAGTGTGGGTATGTGGCATTTTTGGGGTGTGAGGGAGGGTGAGGACACACCCTTGATGGTGCAGCAGCAGGTGGGGGTGCTTGGGGCACTTGTACCCAGCAGCACATGGTTCCAGCCAGCGCTGTAAACTGCGGTGAGGAGTGCAGCCCCCACCGGGCCATCTTTATCGCTAGTGCTTCCCACCATGAATATGCAGCCCCACACTTACGCAGCATGGGAAGCCCCATGCGCAGGTCCTGGGACTCCGCAAGGGAAGCAGGGGCTGGGTCTCCCCCCCACTTCTGGCGGAGTCCCAGGACCTGTGTGGCAGGGGGCAGCGCATGCACAGTGTGTAAGGCTTCCCTCCTGTGCCACGTGAGTGCAGGGACTGTGCATGTGCAGCATGGAGCACTAGCAATAGGGACAGTCCAGCAGGGACTGGGCTCCTCACTATGATGTGCAGTGCTGGCCAGGTGCCAGGCATGAACACCCTGAGCGACCCCGCCTGCTGCTGCAGCTACCGCCTGCTGGGGCTGTGCACTATGGAAGGAGTGAGGGGGGTCCCCACATCCTCACACCCACATGCTGCCCACCTGAGCTCTATGGTTCTGTCGCACCCCTGGATGTGGGCTCTGTGCTGCTACCAGCCCCAACCCCATGCTCCTGCTCAGCTGTGGCTCTACCCCCACGCCCACCACTTCCCTACTTGCTGCCTGGAGCAACCAGGTTGCTGGGAAAGCCAAGCAGGTCCCCTGTGGGGTAACTGCAGCAGCACTTGGAAGCTGCATGCTGGCTGGGCCGGGGCCCTTCTGTCCATAAAAGTGGGACTGAGGTGCGATAGGGTATGTTGGGGGTATGAGCAACTCACTTCCACTCTTGCTGGTGGAAGGGCTGGGCAGGATACAATTCATTGGTAGGTGCTATGGGCCCGATGAAAGTGCTTGGTGGCCCGGATCTAGCCTGTGGGCCATATTTTACCCACCCCTGATCCAAATTCTTTGCACAGGGACCCATCCATCCACCATACAATTGGGCAGGTCTAGTCTCTTGACCCAGGGTGCCTTTGGAAGTTACTCCTGCCCTACTCCAACTGGGCTGCATGTGGAGCCAGACTTGGTTAGACAGCGCAGCCATAGTGGTGGTGGCAGCAGGTAGGTTGCTTTATGTCATGCTTGCTCCTGGGCAGGCAAGGAATACCCAGGGGAACCAGACAGGAGGAGAAATCTGCCTGCTGCTGCCACTGTCCCCTTTCCTCTAGAGTCTTCCCCCACACCCTGGGGCAGCTGGGGACAGCAGCAGCAGTGGACAGGGAATAGAGGGAGGGGAGGGGACATGCTGCTGAGCACAGAGGAGAAGGGAGGGGGAAAATTCTTACCTTACTCAGGAATTTATTTTTAAATCCCTGGCTACTGCTCATGCAGCAGTGTTGACTGAAAAGGGGTGCATCTGCACCAGTGCACCCCTTCTGGATCTGCCTCTGTCTGTGGGTGAGGCAGACTTAGAAGCTAGTGTCCTTTTTCCTGAACAAGCACCCTAACCACCCTGCTTTTGGGTATAAACCATGGACAAGCCCTCTTTCTGTTGTTTTGTTTTTTGACAAGCATGTAGTCTTTGTATGCATGCTTACATTTCCATAATGCAAAGTTAATAGAATTGCAAACTGTGCATAAGTGTAAAACACCATGTGTGTGGCACGATAGCTGCCATTTAGATGCACAATGGTAACATAATTCTGCCCCACTACAAATTTAAAGAGAATGACAATCAAATACATGGTACCAGTAAGACCACAAGTTATTTTTTCAAGTACTTAATATAGTTTAACTGCAAAAATTAAAAGAGTATCAACACTATATGAACAACTTATTGACCTGCTGATCACAAACAGGGAAGAATTGGTGGGGAATGTATTAGTGGGTGGCAACTTAGGCAGCAGTAACCACGAGATGATTGAGACCCATGGGCAGGATCCCTTCGGAAGCCAGACTGAGGGGAAAAGAAGTGCAGGAGAGTTGCCTGTACTTTAAGGAGCTTTACTGAGGAGTGCAGGAACAAATCATTCTGACACGCAGGAAAACTAGCAAGTATGCCAGAAAACCAGCTTAGCTTAGAAGGGAACTATTCAGTAAACTAAATCACAAAAAGGCAGCTTATAAGAAGTGGAAACTTGAAGAAATAACTAGGGAAGAATATAAAAGCATTGCTTGGGCATATAGGGATGAAGTCAGGAAGGCCAAGACACAACTGGAATTGCAGCTAGCAAGGAATGTGAAGGGTAACAAGAAGGGTTTCTGCAAGTATGTCAGCAGCAAGAGGAGGATCAGGGAAAAAGCGAGTTCCTTACTGAATGGGGGAAGCTACCTTGTGACACAGGTTGCAGAAAAGGCTGAAGTGCTCAATGCCTTTTTTGCCTCCATCTTCACAGGCAAGGGCAGCTCTCAGACTGCTGCACTGGGCAGCACAGCTAGAGAGGAGGTAAGCAGCCCTCAGCGTGAAAGAACAGGTTATGGAAGAAAAGCTGGATGTGTACAAATCCATGGGGCTGGATGGGATGCACCCAAAGGTGCTGAAGGAGTTGGCTGATGTAATTGCAGAGCCATTGGCTATCATCTTTGAAAACTCAGGGGAATCAAGAGAGGTCCCAGATGACTGGAAAAGGGCAAACATCATGCCCATATTTAAGAAAGGGAAAAAGCAGGATCCAGAGAACTACACACCAGTTAGCCTCACCTCAGTCTCTGGAAAAATCATGGAGCAGATCCTCAAGGAATCCATTTATAAGCACTTGGAGTAGAAAAAGGCATTTAGGAAAATTTAGCATGGATTCACCAAGGACAATTCATACCTGATCAACGTGATTGCCTTCTCTGACGAGGCTCTGTGGATATGGGAGACTGGTGGATGTGGTTTGTGTATCTTGATTTTAGCAAGGATTTTGATATGATCTCCCACAACATTCTCACAGGCAAGCTAAGGAAGTATGGGCTGGATGAGTGGACTGTAGGGTGGACAGAAAACTGGCTGGAGCATTGGGCTCAGCTAGTAAACAGTGGCTCAATGTCTAGTTGGCAGCTGGTATCAAATGGAGTCCCCTGGGTGTTGGTCCCGAGTCTGGTTTTGTTCAATGTCTTCATCAACAACTTGGAAAATGGCATAGAGTGCACCCTCAGCAAGTTTGCAGATGACACCAAGCTGGGGGATAGGACTAAGATTCAGTGTGACCTAGACAAATTGGAGGATTGGGCCAAAAGGAATAACCTCATGAGGTTCAACAAGCACAAATGCAAAGTCCTGCACTTGGGATAGAACAATCCCATGCACCAGTACAAGCTGGGGGCTGACTGGCTGGGCAGCAGCTCTGCAGAAAAGGACCTGGGGATTACAGTGGACAATAAGCTGAAAATGAGTCAACAGTGTGCCCTGGTTGCCAAGAAGGCTAATGGCATACTGGGCTGCATTGGTTGGTGTGTTGCCAGTAGGCCAAGGGAAGTGATTATTCCCCTCAACTGAGCACGGGTGAGGCCACATCTGGAGTACTGTGTTCAGTTTTGGGCTCCCCACTACAAAAAGGATGTGGACAAATTGGAGAGAGTCAAGCAGAGAGTGACAAAATGGTGAGGGGCTGGGGACATGATTTATGAAGAAAGACTGGGGGAACTGGGTTTATTTAGTCTAGAGAAGAGGAGACAGGAGACTAAGAGGAAACTTAATAGCTGTCTTCATCTACCTGAAGTGGGGGTTCAGAAGCAGATGGAACTAGGCTCCTTTTAATGGTGGCAGATGACAGAACACGGAGCAACAGTCTCAAGTTGCAGCAACGGAAGTTTAGGTTAGATATTTAGGCAGAATTTTCTCACTAGGAGGGTAGTAAAACACTGGAACAGGTTACCCGGAGAGGTGGTGGAAGCTCCATCCTTGAGGGTTTTCAAAACCCAACTAGACAAAGCTTTGGCTGGGATGATCTAGTTGGGGCAGGTCCTGCTTTAAGCAGGGGGTTGAACTAGATGACCTCCTGAGGTCCCTTCCAGCCTTAATTTTCTATGATTCTAACTTCATCAGACCTAGACAGAAAAAAGTATTGCAAGTCACTAATTTTCATGCTTCAGCAAGACAGAAGCAGCTCATCATCATATAGGGACAAAAAGAGGTTTCTTTCTAGTATGCAGACTTTTACTTGATGGGTTTTTACAGACAGTTTTTTTATGTGAAGCAGAAGCATTTGGCTGGTGTCTGAGACCTTGCACATTCTAGTAGAATAATTACTATTTACCTAGTAAGCTTAAGAATGAAAAGGTCCAGTACCTTGCACTATTACATCATCATCCACATATATGGCCTTCTCTGAATAAGGAAGCAAATTAGGCAAGTAAAATCTTGCAAAGGTTAACTGTGAAAAAAAGCAAAAAAAGAGAAATGAGAATAAAATGGGAGAACAACAGAAGACTAGGAAACTGAGAGACTTATTTTGGGCACCATTTTTTGGTGAATGATAATCTGTGCAATGAAAATAACCATCAAGACATTCTGTTTATAAAAATAAAAATAGGGGCTTACCAGCTGAATTTTCAAAAACACCTAAACAACTTATGTTTAAGGAGTACAAGTCCCACTGAAAGTAGCTTTGGCTCTTTTGAAAATACCAACCTAATTTTGCACAGCAATTTGAAACCATGAATTAATTTATGTGGTCCTGGTCATATAATGCAATACAATATTGTTGACTCAGCCTGCACAAACTTGTATAGAAGTAACTGGAACTGTACAGATGGGGAATCAATGGACCACATTTCAGATTGGAGGCCAATCACTGGGGTGCACCAATAAGAGATTTTTTGGGCCAATACCGATCTGATTTCTGACACGCAGCCTGCCAGCTTGAATAGCAGTGTCTGGCTGGTAAGTGTTGTGGTGGAAGGGGTGGGCTCTGTCCCACGCCCTGCTCTACGCTGGCTTGGCGGTGCCTGCCCCAGGCCCTACCCCACTCCCTCCATCACCTTGGAGGCTTCAATCTGCACCCCCCACCCCCACAACAAACTTAACAGTTGGACACAGCTCTCCAGGCTGTGTTCCTGGCCCCATGCATGCTGCAGCTGTGCACACACGGGGCATTTATCGCCCACATTACTGACCGCATCAGGCAAAAAAGCCTATTTCTGATATAGTCAATTTTCTTTATATCAGTGCAGATCCAATATTGGATCAATGCATCAGTGCACCTCTGCCAATCATTATGTATTTAGAAATTTTGTTTCCACTAAGAAATATTATACTGGTTCATTACAGTTCTTGGGATTATGACTGAAGGGCTCAGTCACTTCTACTACTCACATCTAGCCATTATTACTAATGTAATCAAGATTATCCTGAAATATCCCATTGCATATTCCTAACCAATGAAATGCAGAGGCATCTTGGTACTCACAATCCCAGAGCAGGGCGTTTTTTTGCATTAGATGAAAGAAGTGAATGATTTCTAATTCAAATGAAAGTGCAAGTGGAATTTAAAGAACCAAGGGTAGTTGCCCAAACTATAGGACTAGGACTCCAGAATTAATACTTCTACTTTTCTTCAGAAATCTGTGATATTTAATAACGGTAAGTTGTTAAGAAGACTTCTTCATTATTTATGAAACATAAGCTTTACAGCTGCAAAGTATTTCCTACTGGTATAGTGGTTTAAAATAGAATCAGAAAATGTACCCCCTACTTAACTACCTCAATTCCTATCTAGTCTAGGTTCAATCCTATGAATTTGGCTGTACCTTGATCATTATAACTTAAAAGTTATATAAACCTAGTTTTGGATATAAAACAAACATCTATATCTTTACATTTATATTTAAATCTACTTCCTGCAAAAAACTGTTCTGGCCAGATATCTCCAGTCTATCCACCCACGTGAGTGATAACAAATACTAATATCAACAATCAGACTCACTGGTTTTATGGAGTCTGTCTGTTCTGAATCCACCCGCATCTTTCCTTCCAAAACACGAGGATCAAAATCTATAATTTGGTATTTCACATTTTTCAGAACAGTGTTACTCAGCCATGACCTGCACAGGACAGAAGAGAGAAGGAGGAGTCACAGATTTGGTTAGACAAGATAAAAAATAAGGCAAGAATAAAACAGAAAAGAGAGCCAAGGAATGCTAACACGAATGAGTCTTGGACTACTAGCTCTTTGTTGACAGTTTCCTTGTCTAGAGAATGTACATGTATTTTGTGCCCTATTGTAGCAGGACCAAAGCTCCCTGTGACACCCCTGGTAGCTAAGTGCCTCCTGCCCCACTCTAGCTCCTTGGAGTACTCTCCCATTCTACCTTTCCTGCCACACCTTGATACATCTAATAATACTTAGGGAGGCTGACCCAGGGCTCCAAAGTGAGCCTTAGTCCCTTGGCTATCTATTGCCACACATAGCCAGCTGGCACCTGTGTTATTTCCCTGACTAACTTGTGACCCACTGGCTCTATCCAGGCCTTGGAGCACAAGCCGCCTTAGCAGCAATAACTGTGGCCTCCATGCTCTCCTGTAGCAATGCCCATGCCTTGCAGATGTTACTCCATCATCCAAGTACCAGCCTTTACAGGCATCAGCCCTCTTGGCTTTGGCCCAGTGGTTGTTCTAGCTGTGGATTCCTAAGCCACTTGCCCTAGCCTCCTTGGCTCCGGCCCACCCTGCCTCTCGCTCTCAGGGCACAGGCTCTGGCCCCCACAGCTCCAGCCTGCCCCATCTCACTCATGCTCTCCCTTGGCCTTCACAGGGCTGGCTACCCCAAGTGACCCCAGGCACCCTACTATGTGGCTACCAATCCTCCCATACAGCCACAACCTGGTCCTTTGGTATCAAACTTAAATGGAACACAGACACAAGGGACCTGCTTCCAAATTAAATGTCTCCCTTGCTCTGGAGTAGCACCCCCCCTTAAAATTGTACTTCTCTTCAAGCTATCACCTCCCAGCTCTCACGGGTGGCTTGGGTGTCTGCACCCCTCTCTCCCAGGAGATATGTTCCCTGCAGCATGCAGTACCAGACTGCCTGCCTTACTTCAGGCACTGGGCTTACATGCCCTAATGCACTGTCCCTTCCAGTCAGGTGACTCTTTCGAACACACGGGTTTCCTCTTTTTCCTAATGGCCAGCCTGCCCTTTCCTGCTGCAGCTTAATCCAGCTGCACGCACCCTTTACTCTCAGGTTGCTTGGAAATCTGCCCCAAGCAATAAATTTACTGTAGTTCAGCTAACTTCTGCTCGGCTGCCTGCCTACAGAACAAAGCTACCCTGCTGTACTTTCGCCTTAAAATAACAGTAGCCTCTGGCTTCCTGTTACACCTACGGTAGGTATCAGTAGGGTGTAACAACAAAGCCACGCAGAGCTTGCTACAGGATTGTGGCCTAAGATGCTGCCTACCCTAATGTTCTGAGGTAATGTTCTCACATTGTTATAGTATTTAGCACAGTCCTGAGTCCTAACTGGCTCAGAAATGACATGACTAGTCAGTATTAACTAAACAGCTACAACAGCATGCACACCCTTAACAAAACTGTGCCAGACATGCCACTGCAAGAAAAAACTACAGTACTTTATCTGTCTATAACAGCCACAGCAAATTGTGTGCTGGGCATTATTTATTATTCCAAGGAAAATATATCCAATGTATACAGTAAAAAAACCCAAAGAAACAAAACAAAATAAACAAAAAAAACCCTTTGATAACATTTTCTCTGAAGACTTGCAAGTGATAAGTCGAAGTGCCAAAGATGGTTCTGGTTTAATATCAGAAATTCACACTTTTATTACCAAAGGCAATACTGATGAGCGGGGAAAAGAGGGTCAAATGCCAATCTAAAAGTCAGGAAAATTCACTGGTACCCTTCATCATAGAACTTGTCTTCTATTAAAAAGTGTTACTGCTTCAAAGAAAATAGACTTTAAGAATGTACAACAGGTAAGCAAGCATTTGCTTCTCTGCAACATTTATGGAACCAAGCCTCTTTTAAAAAAAATAAAAATAAAAGTATTTTGTGATCTCTTACTCAATATTCCCCCATTTGTACCAGCATTGTTGTATTCAGCTGAAAGCTAACCTGACTAGCAGCCCCACATCCTGTCAAATAAGAGCTGAACCCTGAATTAATTCACTACTGGGAACAAAAAATATTCCTTGACAAGAGCCCAAATCACTAGAATCACTCTGGTTTCTGGGTTTACTGAATTGATTCTGAGTATGTGTATATTTGTAGCAACTACTTTTTAAAATAACTTTTTAAAGAAGTCAGGAAACTGAGAACACAGAAGTCAAGCAAAGTAGAGCTAATTCATGCAAAGCACAATCTACACATAGAATGGTAGCAGGAAAAGTGACTGATGATAGCATATAAAATAAAGCAAAATGTTAAAATTGCAGAGGCATGATTCGGAAGAGTACAACTTACCTCAAGTGATCCACAGTATTGTTTTGAGTGATGATGTGGAACACCACATTTGATTTTGTGTTATGATAAATACTATTTATGGCTGCAATGATGCCTCCAAGCCTGTCCTCTGATGCTGTAATGACCACAGGAATTTCCTTCTCATTCCTTTTTTCTATCAGCTTTTGGGGAGCCTCAGGTATAAAATCAATGGGCTGGAGTCCCAATGCATCTGAATCTACAAACAAAGTAATTATGCACATTTGTATGCAAGAAAAATTATATGTATGAAGCATTATTATGTGGAATAATCTTATATTTCAATTATTTCTGTTATTTTAGTACTTGCAGTCCCCAAGCAGGACTCAAAGCTTCACTGGGCAAGGTTCTATACAAACTTGTAAATAGGAAAGGTAATGGCTCAATGACTGAAGTCAGGGTTGTCTTGGTTCTTGCTCAGAGCTGTTGAGATGAAACAGCTTTTCCATTTGGTAGTATGGATGCAAATATCGTTTTAAAAAACATTAATTTAACTTCCTCTAGTTATATCAGTTAAGTAATTAACTGATAACACAGCAGCTTAGACAGTTGCTGCTGGGAGCTGCTCCGTCTCCTGGAACCCTTTGACTGAGGGGAGAAGATGGAGGAGGGGGGAAGAGGCAAGCCTAGCCAGAAAACACAGCCTATGTGAAGCCCTACGTTGGGAGGGAGGGAGGGAACACCAGGGGAGAGAAGCTAATTGCTTAACTGATGAGTCATCAGGCTTCTTCTTCTTTTCCTCTTAGGCTATGGGTACTAGTCAACCTTGCCCCTCCCATCTCTTCTGTCTACCCTGCTGCCTTCTGATTCCTGCTGGGGCACTTCAAGGCTTCTCTTCTACTCTTCCCTGCCAGACTCTGCCCACCCTATGGTAAAGGATAACCAGTAAGCTAACCAGTTTCACTACTAACTTTATTTATCACTACACCTACTATTAATTGGTTAAACGATTAATTGTTTAACTGACTTTTCATCCCTATTCAGTAGTTTAGCTCCATTTCAACTGGAAGCTTGCTGGCAGTCAGATGTAGCAACACGGTAAGGAATATTGAGAAGTGTTGAAGCGATGATGCAGCTTTGCTTACTCTTGTCTTAACCTCAACGGGATCTGTGATAGAACTGTTATTGAGAACCACCGCTTGCATACGGAGCAGGGAAAGAATAGTGACCAATTTCCACGGGCATCCGTACCTCTGCAGTGCTTCTTGACGGACAGAGCTGAAGGCTTGTGTGTGGTCAAAAAAGGCCACACAGAGAGGTTTATGTTGTTCCCAACATTTTTCCTGCAACTGGCAAGCTGTGAAGATCATATCAGTTGTGCCTCTTGATACCCTAAACCCACACTGAGACTCCAAGAGCAGCTCTTCAGCAAGTGGGAGGAGATGGTTCAGAAGGGTTTTCTCAGTGATCGTTCCTGTGATAGACAGACAACACGGTGGTCCCTCTTCAAGGTAATTTCCACAGTTGGAAATGTTTCCTTTCTTCAAGACAGTCATGATCATAGCGTCCATGTCAGGGATTTCCTCATCATTCCAGATCCTTAAGATGAGGGCATGGGGCTGTGATATGAGCTGCTCAACCTCCTGCTTGAACATTTTAGAGGGATTCCATCAGCCTAAGGTGCCCTGTTACTCTGCTTGATGGCTTTCCTCACCTCATCAAGGGTTGGAGGGATTCAGAAATTGTCTCTGACTGGATGTTGCAATATGGAGTTGAGAACACTTGTAAACAACAGGTCTTGACTGAACAGGTCTTCCAAATGCTCCTTCCAACAGGCATTAATGGCTCCCTTTCCTTTGATCAGGTCTCCTCCATCCCTGAGTGGAGCATAGATGGCTTTGGTTGTACTGAATAAATCTAGCATATTGTGGATGTCAGTGAAATGCTACATCTCCTTTGCTTTGTCTTTCCACCATCTATTCTTCATAACACAGGTCCTCCTTTGGACCTCTGTCTTGCCTTGTTGGAAATTCAGTTTCTTTTGCTTGGAGGAGTTGTTGTTCTGCCAAGCACAAAAGGTCTTTCACATGCAGTCGATCAACTCTTGGGTCTCCCAGTCACTCTCATCACACCAGTCTTGATGTTTCCTAGTAGAGGATCCAACTGCCTCTTTGCAGATGCTAATGGACTTAAAGGCACCCCAAATGCTACTGACTTTCTTCCATTGTTGTTGACTAGAATTCACCAGTTTTCCATTGAGGCACTGCTGAAAGAAGGCTCACTTGATTGGGTCCTTGAGTCACTTGACATTGATCTTCTGTTGACATTGCTTTTGCTGCAGCCATTATTTAGGAGACTGTTTGAATGACATAACCAAACAGATAAGTTAGCAGTTGGTCCAGCAATCCTCAGTTCCTAACATAAGTTGGGTGATGCGGACATCTTTGCGATCCCAGACACAAACAATGACGTAGTCAATCAAGTGCCAATGCTTGTATTGTGGGTGCTGCCATTATGTCTTGTGCCCGTTTTTCTGGCAGGACAGGATGTTGGTGATGGTGAGTCCATGTTCTGTGTATTTGGGCAAGAGGAGGAAGTGGCTGGAGTTGACCTTTCCTGCTCCTTCCTTGCCAATGGTTCTGTTCCAGAGGTTCAAGTCCCTTTCAACTCTGGCACTAAAATCAACAAGAAGAATGACTCTGTCTCCTTCCAGAACATCAGAAAGGACTTGGTCAAGATTGCAATGTAATTCTTCCTTGACTTCATTAGTGGCGTCAAGAGTCTAGGCATATGTGCTGATGACAGTGGCATATAGGCTCCCTGCCCATTTAAGACAGAAAGTCATGAGGCACTCATTAATTCTGATAGGTAATTAGTTGAGTTGGTTTATGAGTTCATTCTTGATGGTAAAACCAACTCTGTAAAGCCAACATTCTCCTTTCCAGAGGAGGGTATAGCTGCTTCCTTGTTCTTTGACCTGCCCATCTCCTGCTTGCTGGGTTTTGCTCAGTGCAGTAACATTGATGTTGTGTTGCCTGAGTTCTTGAGCCAAGATTGTGGTGTGGCACTTTGGGCATTCACTATTAGGATTGTCCATGAGGGTCCTGATGTTCCAGGTCCTGAAAATGATTGTCTTTGTTGATTTTGACCGCAGTAAAGGTGATCCCACTGGACACGGTTATCCAGTCAGGAAAAAAAAAAATGTTTAGGGCACCTTTTCTAGCCCCTCCCCACCCATGTGAAGTGAGCAGAGTGGATTTTGAAGAGGGCTGCTCAGTCAGTTATAGTTGTTGAATCACACTCCTGATTACCTCATCCAAGTGCTAACTCATGACTAGGAGCTTCCAGACATCACAATCCTACTCCCATTGTCATTAGCTGGTCACCAAAGGACTTGAAGAATGTGTTGAAAAAGCCGTTTCCACAGAAGATGCCTGTGTGTGATTTCTTCTATCGTGGGGAAGCTGCTGTACACCAAGCTTCCACATTCTTGACTCAGGTACTGCAGCATAAGTCTTTCATGAGTCCAAAAACTTTCAAAATGACCTAAACTGAACCAATAAGCATGTAGCCTACACTGGGCATATACAAAAATGCTATATACACTGACTAGGGATATCATAAATCCTCCCACACTGGGAGTCTTCATATCAACTGAATCTCTTTCAAACTATTAGCTTTAATATAGAAATCATTGCTTTTAATTTTATTACCCCTCTTCTGCAGATGATCCTAACAGTGTCTTCTAGCCATAAAAATCTATGAATATCTGACTTGATAGACTCTGCAATATTTTTTAATCATAAAAAGTTGTATTTTTTCACTAAATGTAGCTGCAGCAAAAGCTACTGAATTCCTGCTCTGTTTTTGGACTCGTGACCCTCATTATCCTCAATCTGCAACACACAGTCATGAGAACCAAGCTCCTCTTGGTTCTGGAGAAATAAATGAAAATCTAAAGAGCAGAGAATTAAAACAGAAAGGCAAGCTAAAACCTCATGTGTTCATTGTAACACTAAAAACTACTATACCTGACAGTTCCCGTTTCAAGAAGTCACTGAGACCTAGAAAATTGTGATGCAGAACTAATAAAAATATAACAACAGCCAATGCAAGGATGAAAATGTTCACTGAAGAGAGAGAAAGAGAGAGAGTTTGTTAGAAGCATATAACAGCTCATGAAAATCAAAAAGCACAGAATGCTTTTGAAAAAAAAAACCCGTACCTTTTCTGAATGTCATTTTCCCTTTGTATCTTTGTGGCTAAGTATAACCACGTTAAAAACCTATAAATGGGAAAATATATCAGTTACATCATGGTATCAACTCATAGATACAGAAGACCTACAAATGTAAAATTATTTTATCGAACACAAAGAATATTTACAGTATTTTCCTTCCTTGAGAAAAACTCTGAATCCTGTTTTAATGCTCCAGCAAAACTTGCACCCAAGTAAACATCTAGTTAGGGCTCAACTTCTAATGGGTACTTCCTAAATAAAAGGGAGAGAAGCAGAATTTAGGGTGAGGGGCATGAGTAAACAATGGTAAGTTATTTCATACACAAGACTTATTCATCCATAAATCTCAGTGTGGTTTAAGTGGGACAGTATTATCATCTACATTTTACTGACAGAGAAACTACAGGAGACAAGCAAAATGAATTGTATAAAGTTAAATTAGTCTACAGGAAGGCTGGAACTATACCAGCCTTTTAGTCTCTTGCTCCATTAGCTTGACTATGCTTCAAGATAAGAATCAACTTTACTGGGAAGGAGGAGATGGAAGAACTGGGCACTTTTTGGCAGAGCTAATCCCTATTTTGCTGTGAACTGGGGAAAAAAAAGTTTTCCAGAAAAGACCTGACTACTTCAGCCTATACAAACCAGGCTGAAACCAAAGCTATCAAACTAGCTGTGTACATATAGGTTCACTCAATTTACCCATACTGAAACAGATAGGAGACAGAAGCTATCAAACACAATCTGTAAGGGCTCTCAAAAACTCTTGATAGGTTCTTTTTGATGCTGAGCCAACCTACTTAATTATCTGGGCAAGAAAGCATCCAGGTAGCAGAGCAAATATCTGTATCTATTCCATGCTTAACTGGCTGTGCAGGCTTTATGTGAGTCCAGTACATTGTCTGCAAATATAAGAGACAATCAAAATGTACGTATACACAAAATAACAGTCAGCAGACCACATAGGACAACCAAAGTCCAGATCAGAAAAGATACTGCCTTCAGTTTAAGTGAAAAAAGAAGTAAACCCAAAGCCAGTGTGTTATTTCTTTATTATTCTTTTGGCAGAAACGACTCCTGTAATCCATGAATGGAATGTGAAAGTCAAAGTATGGGCCTCACACATACCTAGTCACCCCTGACAATAACTGATCATAGATGCAAAACAAGATAACGTGCACATCCTGACTCAACTTCCACATGCTACCTAGTAAACACAGTTTTGTAACAAATTCAGGAGAAGCTGAAAAAGTGTTATACCAAATCAGTAACTAGTCTTTACATGAAGGTAACAACAAATCACAGTCAGAAAATGCTTATGCTGGGCCTGGCTGGACAGTATAAAAACAGGGGTGTGTAAAATAGGGCCTGCAGGCTGGATTTGGCCCACCAACTGATTGGACCCAGCCCATGGGTGGGCACCTCCCAATTGGTTGTATGTTGCCCATGGTGCTCTGTATGGGATTGAGCCCTCGATGCTCCTGCCCAGGGCAGCCTGTGCAGTGCTCCCACTTGCTCCAGCCATGGCCCAAGCTAGTGCGAACCACTTCCCAGTGGGGCTGCTCCTGGTGCAGTTGCAGCTGCTCAGGTACTGCTCAGCTCCTCATGCCTCCAACAGCTCCTCCTCTTGCCCCTGCTGCATGGCTCCAGGCAGCAGGCAGGGTGGGGAAGTCTTGAGGATGCACACCAGGCAGCAGATGCCCAGCCAGGTAGGGGGAAAGTTGCAGCTGTGCAGCTCCTGCCCCAGCATGTGGGGCTCCAGCTCCAGGCCAGCTTCCACTCACTCTGCCCACAGTGTGATGAGCAGCTGCCTTCAGGCAGCTGAGTGAGTAGAAGGTACCCAGGAGCTGGATTCCCACTTGCTGAGGCAGGAGCCACCCAGCTGCAGCTTCCCCTGCCTTGCTCAGCATATGGTCCCTGGCACGTCCCCATGGCCACTGCTGCTACTGCTTCCACGCGCTACCTGCTGCCCTGAGCAGCACATCAGGAGCAGGAGGAAGAGGAGCCTCTGGAGACAGGAGGGGATGGCAGGAGGAGAGGGGCGGGAAGCTGTGCATGCAGGCAGGCGCTGTACTGGGCCTGTGGAAGCACAGCCTTGGCTCCGTGTGAAGCACCATGGGGGCAGCCTTGGGCTGGGTGGGGGAGATGGGGCAGACCATACCTGCATGGCTCAGGCAAGCCTTGCTGTGTAAGCCTCCTTGCCCCCCACCTCCACAACTGGCTCTCAGGACCTAGAATACAGGCAGGCCACCCACACATGCACCCTCTCCCCTCCCCCAATATAGAAGAGTAAGACTTTATTTTGAGCCATTATGCTCTAAATAGTGTACTTCTACATACACTACTCAAAAAAACAAATCAGGACAAAAATATTTTTTGAAATAAATCATGCACTAAAAATTGAACTTCAACTATAACATATTTTAATTTTGTTTTTATCTACATTTTTTCAAATTCTATCTTCTGAAAGATGTTGTGTAGCCCTCAACAGCTCCCAAAACTCGTTAAGTGTCCCTTCAATCAAAATAATTGCCCACCCTTGGTGTCACTGAACAGATGTATAATGATATTACATACTCTTAAGAGATTTTTTTTCATGTTGGGTAACAGAACATATTGTTTTTCCTGGAAATAAATACTTTTCCTGAAAATGCTGTATTTTTAGTGTAATGCAGGCCCCAACCCAGTGATACAGGGATACCCAGTCTTATTCACTTGAGGGGAACTGTGCACAAGTATTAAGTTGCGCGCACATATTTCAAGACCATCCTGCCACACGCAGATGCTAAGGAAGGTTTCGTGACAGCAACAGTTTCCCCAGCACCCACTGATACACCTGCTGCCTGTAGCAGGCTCTAATGCCTGCTAAATGCACTCTGGCCAGTGAATTAGACCCCACATTTACCGCACTTCGAGCTGTAACACGAACATCAGGAGCATATATCAGCCCTCAGACCTCTGGACCCAGCATCTCCTCCAGCCTCACCACAAACTCATCCCCCGACGACAGGCTCCGCCCCGCCCGGAGCCCGTGCCCGCACGGCTTACCTGCTGCTGCCCAAGAAGCGCGGCTGCGGAGCCTCAAGGGGCCTTGCGCGGCTACAGAAGGCAGCCCCAGGGCCCGGGCCCACCTCTGCCGGCGCCTTCAACTGGAGGCGACCCACCCCCCGCTCAGCAGCGGCGCCAGTCGGCGGCACCTGCCTGAGACTCGCGCCGGGCTCAGCGGGCGGCGGAGCTGGGGCACATCCTCTCCACCCACCGCCGACACAACCAAGACTCTGACGCGTGGAACAAGGGCAGCGGTGCTCACTCCCGCCCCGCCGCAGGCAGCAGCACTGGGCTGCCGTGCGGCCCTACCCTACCCGGCGCCAAACGCCAACTCAGCAGCGCCCGGCGCAGCGGCTGCACAACGCCGCCTTGCCGCAGGCGTCGCCTGTACTGCCTGACTGGGAAGCAACAGAACAAACCACGACGCGCATCAAGACCATATGCGGAGTCCGCTCAGCGCAGAGCAGGTGGCAGACCTACGCGTAACCCCGTGCAGAGCGGAGGCCCCGGCCGAGCCGTTAGTCAGGCAGCGCGTTAGGCATGCCCTGGATAGCATGGACCCCGCGCAGAGCCTCGGACGCCCTGTGGACGTTGCTGTGGAAACGAAGTAGCAAGAACCGGAGAGGGTTGCTTGGAGCAGCAGTGCTCGCGTTGTAGCTTCGGCCTCCCGACGGAGGCTGACGGGAAATGGGGCGGGGCCGGACCTCGCTGTTTCCGGCCAGCTCAGCGCCCGCCCTCCGGAGCAGGATTCGCGGCGCCGCGGCTGTGGTGACGCGTAGCGGGCGGTTTTCGGCGTCCGCTGCTCCCGACGCCTTGCGACCCTCCAGCTCTCAGGCCGGGGCTTCCAACTCCGCAGCCTCCTTCCCCCCGCAGGCCGGATCTGAGGCCGCGTCGTCCCCGCGGGACGGGCCCAGCTGCAGCTCTGTGGACGAGGCGTGTGTCGCTGCCGCCATGCTGGACCTGCTACGCTCCGTCCCCACGCAGATGGTAAGGGCGGTTCTGGCCGCGGGCTTCGCCCGAGCCACTTCCTGGGACGGGCAGGATTGCGGCTTGCCTGGCTCGTGAGCAGAGCAGCCTCCCCTCGCTCGTCCCGCCGGGCGCGGCTGGTGTACTTACCCCGGCGCGTCCCGAGCCGGCGGAGACGCGCGTTGCTGATTGCGCGCCCTGCCGAGACAGGTGCTCCAACATTTGTAGCCTCGGCCCCTGGAGCAAGTGTCTTTGCTGGCAGCAACAAAGCGCCGCCTTCCCTTGCTCCCTCCCGCGGGCTTGAACCTGGGGAGAGCTCCAAGAGCTGGGGAGCGAGGCAAAGCACTCAGTAGTTACACTTGCGAAAGGGAGGGGTCTGTGGCAGTGTAAACATGTCACTGCCTGCGGGCTGCTTACGGATTTGATGAGTGCAGCTGGGAGGCAGGAGTGAAAAGCAGGCCTCACTTGAAATCTGGACAGGCTTTTCAGTAATGGCATTGCTTGGGAATGGGGTGGAGTTATACAGGGGCCTGTGGTGTTTGGTGCCTACAGATATCTTTGCTCCTATAGTCAAGTGGTCTAAATCAGGGCTGTCCAATTGGTAGATGTGCCTGCAGACTGTGAGTGGTTAATTTGCAGCCCCCAGGCTTCTGCCAAGCACCCCTTCCTTCCCCTCCCCCCATCATTCTGACTGCAGCAGCATCCAGCCTCCAGGAGCCTCCTCCCTCCTTAGGTTCCTGCTGAGTGCATGTGCCTGAGGGTGTAGAGCACGTACGTTACAGCACAACCCACTTGCTGAGGGAGCCTGTAGTCCAGCATACCCAAATGCTGTACAGTGAGGGAGCCTATGGCGGAGAGATGGGATGGGGCCCCCACTGCACGGTAGGGGGTGGCCACACAACATGTGGTTCCACTGGTGCATCCTGGACAGTGTGCAGCCCCCAGGCCCTTAGAAGTTAGGCAGCCCTGGTCTAAATTATTTAAGTCAGGTATACCGATCTTCAGAATTTATTGGAGACTCAAACTGCTTTGACCTCTTTCTTTAGGGTGCTCCCCTTCCCACCACACAATTAGAACAATATTTTGAAACACAAATAATTTTACATAATATTTTGTACCTTAAGTGGGTATTCTAGAAACTATTTTTTTATTGTAAATAGTCAAATAATGTTTTTCATCTGCAGATGGGTGGGGGGAGTCCTGTGGAGGACACATTTCACTTTTAACATACAAAGCTACTTCTTGTAAAAATCTAACACTATTTTGCTGTATATACAAAATGACAATCTAGTATAACAACAAAAAATGTAATGTTCTATCACTTTAAAAAAACAAAAGATTTCTTCCTGATGCTTACAGATCTGTGACTTTGGGATTTTATTCTCATATTATTAATACTGAAGATGGTCTACATTGTGGTTACATGGGGGGACTAATATGTTCTTGGGGTTGCAGGAGACACTAGGCAGTAAATTAAGGGGTATTTTCTTGTTTTCATATGAAGCTGTAAAGAGTCAAATATTTCTTAAAACTACCTTTCAATCTGATTTTATATTCTACACTTCACGTTCTGTGGCCAGGGCAGCTCTATCTTTCTGATTCTTGCATTCTTTCTGAATAGCACTGAATAGTGGATATATGTGCATAAGTAATTCTAACTGTTAATGCATTTTTCCCCATAGGACTACAAGGGTCAAAAATTAGCAGAACAGATTTTTCAAGGAATCATTCTCGTCTCTGCAGTAAGTATAGTGGAACCATGGCAGGTGACACACGAGTTTGTAAGACACCTTCTAAAAATAAATCAGATTTGGATCTGACTCGTTTCTTCAAGCAGGTGTTTTGAAGCTTGAAACAAAGCAGACAAGACGTCTTAAGTCTTTAAATGTTCTTAAGTCTTTAAATGAGACTTAAGAAAACCAATGGTTTGGAAAAAAAGATAGGGTTTGTTCAGAATAGATTTAGACTTCATTAAAATTGTGTGGAAGACTGGTTCTGAATCTGGAGTTCCAATTTAATTCAAAGTCTAATTCCTTTACCCTGAAGAGAGTTCAGTTTAGCTTAGCAAAATGGAAGAGAAGAGGGGGATATGTTCACTCTACAGATACTTGGGTAGACAGCAGAGGGAGAAAAACTAAGCTTGAGTACAGTGTTGGTGCAAGAACAAAAGGTGGTAAAATAATATAATTTAGACTAGTAATAAGGTTTCTAACCATTAAGAGGAAGGAGTGAGACTGGAATATTTATTAATGGGTTTCTTGATCTACCATTGCTAACTGAAGCGTGCTCAGACTACTGAAATGATTTTGTTACATAGTTGCCTTTGAAAGTGAAGGACTGGACTTTGACTAACAGATGGGTCTTTTCAGTCTACACACTTTACCAATCTTCATTCTCAAATAGCAGTGTTAATTATTGACATTTTAGTAACATGTCTAATTGCTATGAGTTAGTTTTGGTTATATCTCCTGAAGCTTACAAGAACCACTTTGTTGGCTAAAAAGACACCCAGAATAAAATAGTATACATGATGTAAGTAAAGCCTTGAAATATTTGGTGATGTGTTCCACTGATTTTACCAGGCTTTTACAGTCTAAGCTCTGAAGTGAATATATCATATTTTCTTGCATAGAACTTCTTATCTGGGGTATAACTGTAAACTGCATCAGACTGCTGGAGGGCCTGGTGGCAAAGTGGTGGGGCTGCCTGTGATGGGGATAGCTCCTGTAAAATACCACAAGGTTGCAACCTCCAGAGCAAGGTGAGTATAGGGTGCCTGGCCTGCACTGCCTTGTGGGTATGCCTTGGTTGGAGAGAGGCTAAGGAATATCACCTTGACAGTAATGCACCCTTGCTGAGGCATTAGGCAGGCAGCAGCAGCAGCTCTTATGTGTTGCTCTCTGGCAGAAGCTACAACCATTGTGGCACTGAATGTCTGGACTTGGTTTGGCTTTTGGACTCTGTCTCATTGATCCAAAGGGGGGGGGTAGGCCTTGTACACCTAGGCAAAAATATGGTGGAATGGAAGCTGTCCGTGTCGAAGGTTTTGGTGTAATAGTTACAAGACTCCATACAAACAGATTAATCAGGCATCCAAACTAGACCTCTTATCTATATAGTGGGATCCAGAGTTGCTCTGTAAATATCCAGAGTTGCCCCGTTGCCTGCTCACATAGAACCTACACCTTTTTCACAGCCTCTGCCGCCTCCCCTCCCCAAACAAGTGGCTGAAAATCTGGGTGCGTACTGTATGTGATGTAATAGCAGTTAGCTGCCAGCCATGGCAGAGAGCAGTGAGCAGGGCAGTAGCTCTAGGAATCCCCTGGGGAACCCACAACCACAGGGTAGTTGTGGGATTTGTCCGTGGCTGGCCATGGCTGGCTCACATACAGCAGCCCTGGTCAGAGAGCAGACAGCCTGTCCTCGGCTGGGCTGTCACCTGGCCTGTGGTAGCTCCAGTCAGAACAGGTGGTCTGTCCCTGGCAGAGCTGTTTCTGGCTCAGCAACTCTGATGAGAAAGCAGGCAGCCTGTCTGTATCTGGCTACGCTGCTGCTGGTTCACAGAAACCCCAATCAGAGCAAGCAGCCTGTTCTGCAGGAGCAGCTGGCAGACAGTGAAATTGCTCTAAGACAGCTTGATTAGTGGAACATCAAGAACATTAAAAATGAAAGACTTGTTAACACCTCCTCTGAAGAACATTGAGAACAATTGACTCCCTCAGGTGCCTGAAGAGTAATGCCACAGCTGCTGTACTGTGGAGCAGGAATCAAAGTAGGATGCTTTCCTCCCAGTCAGAAAAGCAGCTTCCCCACTTGAGGGGCTGATATTTGGGGGGGGAGGGGGAAGATGCATGTTGTATGCAAGAAAATATGGTATACAGATACATTATAGAAAACGTCATTGGTTAAACGGTGATCTTAAAATGAAGACTGCATGTGCTGACTTTCATTTGCCTCTTTTCCTTTTAAAAAAATAAAGAATTCCAACATGGGTAGAAAGACTAAGTGTGTGTTTTGTGCAATTTGAGTTCTTTTAATAGAAAACGTCATTGATAAATGTAAAATGTGTTTAAAATTTCTTACATTTGTAGGCAAATCTTTTAAAATGCCCAGCATTGAAAATATATAAACAGTGGAACTATTAAATCCTCTGAAGTAGGAAATTAGTTTTCTGACCTCCGTAAATTAAGATTTCAAGATCTGGTTAACATTGTCCACTCTCGCCCTTTCAAAAAATACAGGAACTCAGTAGCCTAGCTAAATAGAACATAGTAGACAGCCTGGATTCCTGGCCAGCATTAGTTTGCAGACCCAAACCTGTGCCAACTAATTCTCTTTAGAAAAACAGTACTACTTCACATCATTTCCCCAATATTTCATTTATGATAACTACAGACTCCTTTTAAGACAGTTTTAAGTACCTTTTTTCCATACTGGCTAAAACTAATTCACCAAAAAGCAGTTTCCTTTCCTTTACAAGAGACTAAATAAATAGCAAAATTGTCCTCATTTGACACAGTGTCCATGCAAACTCTATTTTACTGTTTACAAGTTTATTTCCCATGTTGTATATGTTGCCCATTTTCCTATTGCATTCATGAAACGATAATTTTACTTTTTATAAATACACTTGGCAACAGATAGTGGGTATTTATGGTTTTAGAACAGAATGGGAAATATTTAGAATGAGCTTTATATAGAAGTGTTTGCAAGTGTCCTGACTTGCTAACATTCAGTACTTTTTAAAAAATCTTGTGTTTTCATTTTTTGTGCCTGTGATCACTTCCAGTATTAATCTTTTTGTTCAGGAAATGACTTTTGAAGTTTTAATTATTTTTTTCCTATAGGTAATTGGCTTTATCTATGGTTACATCACTGAACAATTTGGTTGGACTGTTTATATAGTTATGGTTGGATTTGCTTTATCTTGTCTGGTAAGGATGTATTTCTACTTTGAATACCATTGTCAGAAAATGCAATAATGAAATAATAAAAACTGTTCCTCAGTTGAAATGGTGCTTTTAGATACGGAATTTTAAGTAGCGACTAGAGGAGCAGAAAGTACGTAGATACAATACAAATGTCACAATATACTTGAAAACTAACCCACAGAAGTAATGCTTTATTCTTTTTGGTTTGCAGCTCCTCTTTCCTTAGCCTTGTTTCTTATTTTTTAAGAGAAGTCTAAGTGTCTCTTGAAAAGATTATACTAGTTTGTTTGTTGCCATTAAACTCCTATGAATTAAACCTTCAGTCTCGATCTAGCCTGCAGCAATGTGATAGAGTGGATGGGGTAAAGGGAAAGGAGAGAATCAGTAGCATACTCTGGAGGTATTTCCTGCCCTGTGCTGTGCATTCCTCTACTGCATGCCACTAACCCCCTCCCCAGTGCCCCAGTCCTCTTCATTCTGTGCGTTTCACCCTCTTTACTCCAGTGTCCGCTTACACTTGTCACCAAACTCACTGCTCTCCATTGTCTTTGGCCACAAGAATTGGCAGCAGTAGTGGGTGTATGAGGCACAGAACAGGGAGGGCTGGAATGGCATGGCGCTTGCTTGTGAAAAACGTTAATATTTGGCCAGATTTCAATGGGGATTTTGGCCATTTTTGTTTTGGCAGACCCTTGTTTTACATGTCAGTAAAAACCGAGGCATGACCTTCTATGCTTAGGCATAGAAATCTCTGCCTAAGCTGCATATTCACAGAGCACATTTTTCTCAAATGGACTTTGAAACCCAGGGATACCCCACCATCCTTTACCATCTCCCCTGTGCAAGATGAAGTTTCTTTTCTACCTGGGAGAGCTTTTACAATCTTTGAATTCTCCTTTGCCTGACAAAGGGTGTTTAGACCTGAAAGCTTGCAAAGAGACTTTTTTTGCTACTATATAGTTGGTCTAATAAAACATTGCCTCTACCCCAAGTGTTTTGTCTACCTTAACCTGTAGAATTTCTCTATTATAAGAGAACTATAAATTGTGTATAGCATTTAGCTGGCTTTCTGGTTTGTTTACAATTTAAGTTGTCTTTTCATTTAAGTTAACGCTTCCTCCATGGCCTATGTATCGTCGCAATCCTCTAAAATGGCTACCTGTCCAGGAATTGGGACCAGAAGATAAGAAGCCAGCAGACAGAAAACCAAAAAGGCATCCTAAATAATATGAACCTTGATGATGTAACAATGCAGTAGTTTCCTTCATTAAACATGTCTAAGAAATTCTTGTTTTGATACCCTTTCTTGCTTGGTGCTTTTTAACCTGTTTTGAGTAGGAGGTTGGACTAGATAACCTTCTGAGATCCCTTCCAACCCTAATTTTCTTTGACTTCTACCTCAAGGAACACTAAGTTTCATGTTAAGAGAAACACACACATCACTTCTGATTATGTTTTTAATAATCTCCCTGGAGAATGAAATGGGGAAGGAGGTAAGTGGGGTTTCAATTTGAAGTACATTTCAGGTTTCTCTTAAACCAGGGGTGGGCAATTATTTTGGCTGGAGGACCACTTAAGTTTTGGCAAGCTGTCAAGGGCTGCACATGCACAATCTTCCAGAATATATCATTAGGAAAACTTGGATTAAAAAACCAAATCATTAACTAAAAATCATACATCTTCTATAACATTTTAACTTTATTTCAAAAAATAACTTTTGTCCCGATTTAGCATAATAGCTCAACGTAGCCTCACTGTAGGTGCGCATGGGGCTGCTGGCGTACTAGGTTACTGATCATTAATCTCTACTTGTTGCAATCTTTTGCATCCTCTGATTGAATGTTCAGATCTTGCATATCTTTTCTGATATAGTCTTTTCACTGCAGTCTTGGCTGTCCTGTTGCCTTGCTGTCGGTTGGGGTCATATTCTCACACAGTAGTCTCCTGGTCCTGCCTCATATTTTTAGCTAGCTTGAGGTTTTGCTATATCCCACTGTTGTCATTTCTCACCTTATCTTTCAGATTGACTTTCAGAATCTGTTTCAACATGCCCATCTCTACTCTTAACAGTACAATAGAAACTGGAACATTTAGATCCAGATAGTTCACAACCCACTTAATTCACAGTGAGGTACCAAATTAAGAATTGGATGCTCAGCTGCCTGCTGCAGCTTTCTATCAAGTGCTTCTCCATTTAGATGGTGCTAATTAGCAGTTCTACCCAGCTGTTTGCTTTGGCTCTGTATACCTCCAGATAGTTTGCAAATCCTTCCCTTTACAAGGGTGTGTAGATGTGCATGTGTTTCTCAGTGCCTGCTCCCCCTCCACACCAAAAAGTACCTGAATTCTACTGCATCTCTTCCTTTCTTCTTGCAGCTCAGAATCCTGCCACATCTCATCACTGATTTTGTATCTATCGTGTACAAGCTGACTTTCAGTCTCATTGCATCTTTTTATTACCAACACTCAAACACTTCTCCATTTTTTTCCAGTTGCAACAGAAAAAATGGTCAGGCTGAGACCAGTGGTTATGGTCTGTAGGTCAGTAGTTTTCTTCCAGCAGTGGCAGAAGTGGATGCTATAGGAGGAGAAAGCAGTGAGTACTGGATATCTTCAGAGTGACCTATCCCCTATATCCAGTGGTTCCCAACCTTTTTCTGTGACCTGCTGCTGGCAGCAGAGTGCAGTGGTGGTGGTGGCCCGGGGGTAGGGGAGCTCCTGGCACACGGCATGGCTTGTCTTGTGTGTGCTGCTGGTGGCATTGCCCCTGCGACCCTCATTTGGGTCTGTGACCCAAGGTTGGGAACCGCTGCCCTATACAGTACCCTCCCTAGCATCTACCACTGTTGGTTTAGAGATACAAGATGAATCATCTCCAACCATTCTGTTCAATAGCCATCAATAGACCTATCATCCTTGAATTTCTCTCATCTTTTTGAACAGTGGTTGAAGCAGATAGTGCAACCACTCTTGTGGCAACGAATTCCACAGGTTGACTATGCATTATGTAATAAAAGTATTTTCTCTTGTTAGGTTTAAACCCGTCTCCTGCTAACTTCAGTAGGTGCTGCCTAGTTCTGATATTTAAGACCTGACGAACAATAGTTGTCCACACCCTTCGTGATTTCATAGATCTCTTTCATATCCTTCCTTCACACTTCTGTTTTCCAAACTGAAGTTCCTAGCCTTTTTTAGTCTCTTCTGGTATGGCAGTTGCTCCATGCCCCTTATTTTGATTACCCTTCTCTGTACCTTTTCTAATTCTACTGCATTCTTTTTGAGATGTGGGGACCAGAAGTGCACAGTTTTCAAGATGTGAGCACACCATAGATTTGTATAATGGCATGATGATGTTCTCCATTTTGTTTTTCATTCCATTCTTATGATGCCTAACACTGTACTGGCTTTTCTTGGTCACTGCTGCACATTGAGGTGACAGTTTTAGAGAGCCATCTACAATGACAGCAGGGTTTCTTTCCCGAGTCTTAACAGGTAGTTCAGAACCCAGCATTTTGTATACGCTGAAGTTATTTATCGCCATGTGCATTATCTTGCACTTGTTGACATTGAAGTTCATCTGCCATTTTTTTTGCCCAATCACTTGGCTTAGTGAGATCTTTCTGTAGCTTTCCTCCATCAGCTTTGGACTTGATTATCTGGCATAATTTCGTGTCACCTGCAAACTTGCAGATTTCACTGTGCGCCCATATCCAGATCATTGATTATCTTCTCTTCTATGCTTCATTTCCCGCCTCTACACATAGTTAATGTGGCGGAGCCACACAACTGCTTTATCATAGACTCTTGCCAGATCCTCATCCTGGGTACATGGGTGTACTGCACATGTGAGGAGGTGGTCAGTAGTCTGTGGTGCATCACTGTGCAGGTCACTGGAAGTGTTGAACAAAACTCGGCCCAGCATAGATCCTTGTGGGACCCTATTTTTGACCTCCCTTAATTAGCCCAAGAATTTGAAGTAGTAGTTTTATGTCAGCAAAATATGTAAGTACCCAAATTGGAATTGAGCAAGTTGTCACCTCTACTTCTGCAAAAAGTTCTGTTTAGCGTGTACTCTGTCAACCAAGCATCCTTTGCTATATTAAACACAATTTTGCTCTTTTTAGTTTATGCATCAATTATAAGCAGTATCATTCTTCAGCATTTTTCCACATAAATAAGTCATAAATAGTTACACAGGACAATTTTTTTCTGAAAATGGAAAGGAAACACTTTTCAAAATGATACATTTATTTTAGAAAATTCAGATTATCTAATTATTCCTCAGAAATAATTTACAGGCCTCCAAAACACAAATGCAACGTGTTCTAGCATCACACATTTATATATAACAAAAATATAAAAAAACTTGTAACAAAGCAGGTTGGCATATGAGAGAAGACATTAAATACACAAATTATTTTAATGTGCCTAGTTTCTATAATTTTTTCACTAAAAGGAATAAATACTGAAATTTGTTTTCCTTGGGAGAGAAGCTAGAGCCTGGACTCAAAAAACCCAGGAGTTCAGTCTGTGGAGTGTGCCTATTGGGATTTTTTAAATAATGTAGCATATAGACATAAGACAGTGTTCTGAAATTAATTTTATAGCTACAGAAATCATAAATCAGCTGTCCATTAGAGCTGTGCAAAGCTTTGGATCATAATTTGGATTCGGAGATGATTTGGAGGCTGAATTTATGAATCCGAATTGAATTGCTGGAAGCTTTAGGCTTTGAATCGATTCAGAGCTTCTGAATCAATTCGGCCATAGGGTATTATGAGGAATCAATGAAATATCTATAACTTTGTCTTTTGGCTGATTC